TTACAAATTCTGTTTTTGAAGGATTTTGGTTCTCCCAAACAACCATTAGAGAGACCCGCTCTTTCACATTCATCAAACGCGGAGGTTTCGGAAAATATGATTGGGGATGTTTTCCAATGATGCTTCGACAAATAGGGGTCAACAAGGAGAGAAAAATAGAAAGATCACGATGAGTCGTTGAGTGTGAAAAAAGAGTCAGAAAACAAAAGTAAGAAAACGGTGACTCCAGGCCAAACTGGATGGTCCGCAGATTGTCTGAAAATTTGAGTAGGAAATCTAATGGTTAGAGAGAGAGAAGAGAGATAGTATGTATGAGTGATTCCTGCCAGAAAGTAGTCGTAACCGGAGAAGAGAACGGAAAAGTATGTGCATGAGGCCTTTAATAGCCGAAAAGAGTTCAGAGGCGCTAAGAAATGGGCTCTGAGTTGAGCTTTGTAGAGAAATGGGCTTATTGTATGTGATCTTAGCCAAAATTTTGGATCTCCTCTGTGAAGTAAATAGAAAAGCATTTTTAGGCAGTTACTTGTCCGAGCTCGAATATCAGGCTCTACGTCTTTTAGAGTTTGGATCTTCGAGTCTGGATATGTACGATATATCTACTTGAGTGCTTGTCATCTACTTTCCTTGTCTTTTCGCGCCACTTGACCGACCATATGGCTCTGCTATGCTGCACCTGACTCCTCGTACTGCAGACAGTGTCTGACATGACGGATTAGGCGCCGGGGTGTATCCTCAAAATTAGTTGCTTTAAGCTTTAACCATATTTCCATGTATGGACGACTTGCTTTTACCCTAACACGCATAAAGTAAAAGTGATTTTACCCTTTAACTAGGTTTAAATGTTTAACAAGGAAGGAATCAAAAATAATTTGATATAAATATATTTCTTACCTTGCCCGAGCTCTTGATAAGAGACTAAGGCCACATGTTCCTTTTCGGCGTAAAGATGTCCGTCTTGGGCCTGTCTTACCAGCCCCGAGGTCATGATTCTCTTCGGCTGCAAAGTGTGTAACCAAGGGTTTATGGGTTCGGGTATCTTCACACGTTGGTTTGGCCCAATGTAAGTTCAGGTCCAAAACTGTGTTACGGGGCCTATCGCTAGGCGTGTCTTCACCGATTGGTTCAAACCATTATAAATTTGTTAAATAATTTGAATTTGTTATGAACAATGACTAATTATATTTTACACGTATAGATAAAATTAGATGATTTTCCACGCTATACGCGTAATAATTATTGTTTAGTTTATTAAATATCATATAACTTTAAAACAAAAGATTTTTAATTGTGTTCAATATGAATATTCATTTACTTAAGCCGTGTGAA